AATCCGCCAACCCTTCATGGTGTACCACTGACCCTGTGTCAAGAGGTAAAATACCTGGGCGTGCTGCTGGATTTTAAGATGTCATCTAAGCAGCATGTCGACGATGTCTGTGGAGCTCATGTGGCACTTGCCTCGAGTGGTCTTGATGTGTCAGACCAAATATCCTGCATTGGCTTTACACGACGGCGCTAAGATACAGGACACAGTATCGATGCGTGGCCTGGTGGCCAGTGTTGAAAAGACCCGCAAGCCAAGATTCTGGCGGCGCTGGAGATAACTGGTGCAATGAGGATAACCCCTTCCGCAGACCTTGACGTTTTTCTGGACTGCCTCGATTGAAACACTTTATAAAGCGTACGGCCTTGTCGTTAAATCTAAGGATGAACGATGAGGACACGAGTCATTCTAGCATCGGAGATCTGACGGAGAGGTATCATCTCAAATCTTTGGTAAGAGCGAACAGGGCCAAGAACACCATAAGATCAGACTTAGATGCTCAGTGCGAAGGGGAAGGAATGTCAATCAACCCGCAAAAAATGGTCATCTTACCTTTCACCAGAAAGAGAGAACTGGATGGGATTAAACCTCCAACAATATAAAGTGAAAATGTACCGTTTGCAAAACAGCAATCCTTAAGAAGGCAAGGACCTTGCTATGGAACTGCCGAAGGGTCTGTGGACAGAACTAGAGAATGAAGCCTATGCAAGTGTTTTGGTTCTATAGCATGGTTATTAGACCTATCATAACCTATGGGTCTGCAGCTTGGTGGGGCAAGGCAGCACAAAGAACTGTCCAAGCCAAACTTAGCGCAATACAGAGAGAAGCTTGTATGTTGACCACTGGTGCCTTTCGTACCACACCAACTGCAGCTATAGGAGTCCTTCTTAATTTATCCCCTTGCACATATAGAAGGACATCTTATAGATTAAATCATGTGGCAAATGGTATAATGGACAATATCACTATGGAGGAGACGGACATGCTGGTGGACTTACAATACCACCACCGTTTGGGAATGCCTTCTGATATAATACCAAAGATAACAAGATATGCTAAACCCTAATCAGTCACAATTGCACACAGGAATGAGTAGGAACTGCAAGTTAACCTGATAAGGAAATATATCTGTGCATTCACAGATGGCTCTAAGACCGAGGTAGGTGTTGGAGCTGGTATCTTCGGGCCGAAGCTAAAGATTAAAAAATCTGTTAGCCTAGGAACCTGGGCATAGATCTTCCAGGCAGAGCTATATGCTATAGAACTGGGTGCCAGAATGATCGCAGAACGTCAACTGAGTCACAGAACTATAATTATTTTTTCAGATAGTCTATCCGTGCTTAAAGCACTTGACTCCACCTATTCGGCATCGAAATTAGTGTGGAATTGTAAAGATGCTCTCGGTGGCATAGGAGAGGGAAATGAAGTCCGACTCATATGGATACCAGGGCACACAGGTCTAGTGAGAAACGAGACAGCTGACACTCTAGCAAATAGTGGGGCCTTCATAGGGCCAGAGCCAGCGATTGGGATCACAAAGAATATGGCTAAGCAAATAATCTCTGCCGATAGACAGAAAGATCCATTAATACTGGGAGGGATTAGCAGGGTTAATCCATGCTAAGGCAACTATACCAATCTTGACAAAGAAGGTAACAGACTCTTTGCTGCAGCTAAGCGGGAATAGCCTCAACGCTCTAGTAGGACTGTACACTGGTCATTGCAAATTGCGTCACCACATGAGCAGGCTGGGCATAGCGGAAGCGCTGAGTGCAGGCTGTACATGGAGGGAGATGAAACGGTCAGACTTGTATTGTGCAGATGCCGTGCTGCATTTGTCAGAATTAGGTACAACATACGTGGAGCAGAAGATCTGAAGGACATTTCTCCAAACAAGTTGATCGACTTCCTCAGGAGGTCGGAGCTACTGGGGGAAGTAACATATAAGTAGGTGTGAGCCACAATAGACCAAAGAGTCGCAGTGGAGGATCGTTATTGATGTACTCACAAGAAACCTACCTAACCTAACTTAGAATTCTCACTCATAATCTCTTCAAAGAAAGAATGGATGCATGGAGAAATAACATTTACCCCAGTGTCTCGTGTACTTCACTGATGGATCCTTCTCTAAATAGACAGGATCCAGTGGGGCGGAATTATACCTGGAAGACAAAAGCGTGCAGGAAAGCTTAGTGCTTACAACCTACACAATGATTTTGCAGGCAGAGATATTTATCACCTTGATGGTGGCATATTCGGAGAAGATTCAGCAGTGCACTGCTTTTTGTTCCTGGATACAGTCGAGTGCCGGCTAACGAGAGAACATATTGTCTGGCTAGGCTGGGGGCCCAAAGAACCTGCACAGGTCCCGAGCCTAGGCTTAGCATCAGCAGGCGACAGGTCAACTCCGCCCTGAATGAATAGGTGTATAGGAACCTGGAAATAGCGTGGTGAGAGACAGGGGTAGAGAATTGCTCAATCTTTTGGTGGGGTTTCTCACAGGCTATTGTACACTGAACAGTCACTTATCCATTTTAAAGATGAGGACAGATCCTATTTGCCTCATGTGCTGAGAGGAGGACGAAACAGGGTTCCACTTTCTGGGCTAATGCACTGAATATTGCGGTTTAAGGACTGAGATATTTAGAGCCATGGAGTTGGATGGTGAATGGTCGGACAACCTGACTTTTAGCAGAGGATCAGGAAGCTTCAACAGATTAGTGGATTTCCATGTGGAGTAGAGAATTAGTACATTCGGGGTTGGCAAAAAGGGCCTACTTTCCAGACTTCCCCTCCTCACTACTACTACAAATACATGTGCTGTTCTGCTTAAGGCATCGCGAATTTTTTCCTTTATCAATTTGCGGTGCTTCTACTTTTGGCCTGTATGTACACAAAATGTGTTTTGAAATGCACAGTGGCCGCACGCGATCCTATGACATAATTAAAGATAACACCGATGTGCATGTGCGTTGTTACAAAATCATCAGTAATATCGCGAGGACGAAGAGAGTGATTTCCTGTGGTTACTGCGATGTCTTGTTGAATATCGTACGCATAATCGTCTTTGCTGTATCGTTACGTGCAAAGTATGCGTTAGCAATAGCTGTGATAATAGTAGGGACACTGAGCGGTAAAACCAGTTTTATTTGCCACGCCACTGCCGAGAAGGTATTGCAATCGCAAAAAGTTTCGAAAATGAGCGATAATCTTTTTTGGATGATATATGACATGAACCTCGCAAAAAACCTGTCTGTCGATCTGTTGCTCTGCCTGTCGACTAATCCTTTTACAGACTATGAATTATAACAAGAAAAGTACTGCAAATTGGTGCTATAAGACTTTGGTAAGGGAACTGTTCAGCCGTAGAGCCATAAGGTGTTGTATAACTGTTACAAGATTGCTTTAGGCACCTCACTTAAGAGCAAATTATGTACTGTAGAAAGCAAATTTGCATTCCAGCCAACATTTTAGTGTTCAGGGAACAACAAGTGAGAGCTTTTACGACTGAACAGTTCTTTTACCAAAAACTTATAGCAGCACTTTGCTAGTTGGGTCATGTTTTTCAGGAAAATTTTTGTAGGGATTAAGAATTGGCCGTTGGGGATTGTAGATTTTTAGGTACGTATACAGGGTGACTTTGAAGTTGAGTCATTAATTTTCAGATAATGATTGTAGAAGGAAGATAAACCAAAATATGTGTGTAAAAATAAAAAAAAAATTAAAAAAAAATTTTACCTTGTTTTACAAAGTATCCTCCCGACAAGTATTTCAGTGCGGACCTGTATTTGATCGTGAGGTCCCCTGTGAGGTCTTAAGTCACCTGATTCACGAGCCCGTTGTACTACATTAACAAAGGCACGAGGGGTTGGTTGCACTCGATTGGGAAACCGATCCGCATAAACATGTGCCATTTTTTATTTCACACACTATTCACACGCGACTGAAACTGACTGTATGTATAACTGAACTGAATTGTAATCGTAAAAACATCGTTCCAAATTCTTTCGCTTTTTTGTTTCCGATGCGATGAACCGTTGTTGCCAAACACGAACACATGATATTATTGAGACAGGGCGGTACTCAAACTTCCAAAGGGCTATAACTTTGTTACTTTAATTTTACCAGAAAAATGGTAAAGGAAAAAAACATTTCTTTTGATCAGATCTACACACTGTTAAAATAAATGACTCAACTTCGAAGTCACCCTGTATTTACATGCTCCCAATCTCTGTCTCTGGGGTGACCAGCGTCACAGTGTCGATTTGCGCTGCCGAGTCTGACGAATGGATTGATCTAGCGGTGAAGTATGAGGGCTAAGCAACGTTGTCAGATGGACATCGATAGGAGGCTGATTTCTCTCAAAGAGCCGTTCATTTCGGCTGGTCGGAGTCCATGTCACTGAAGGCTTGATTTGACACGAATATATCTCGTCAATTGCGGCAGCTGCTGAGAAAAAGCAGGCTAGCTAAGAAGTGCTTTCCTCCACATAACCTCCTTACTCTGTACAAAGCCCAAGTAGGACCTAGCATTGAGTACTGCTCCCATCTTTGAGGTGAGGAGGGCTGTCCAACTGATCGACGACTTTTCTCTAACGGACAGTCCCGGGACCCTTCTGGGTGTCTGGCTCTCCTCTGCCGCTATGTCAACGAGCTCTTCTCCTCAGTGTTCTCCTCCAAAACGCAGCCGCGCGATGAGCCTTCCAGACAGACCCGCTTGACTGTGGCCTCCCATCCTGACCGCGTCACATCGAGAGCTAGCGAGTACGACTACTCATCTGTCCCACGTGATCACCCCTTGCGTAAAGCACGCAAGAACTTGTCAGTCACGTTGTTGCGACAACAGTCATTAGCGTTTTTCATAGACTGGAAAGTTTATCATTATGGTGACTGTCTGAACATGTAAGACTTCCGCTAGTGACATTACTCTTCGTGATTGGTATACTTTAGTGGATTGTTACGTGGTTATAACTGCGTCAATACACATATAAGCATTTGACAAAGGCTTTATTTAATTGTTATACAGTTGTTACAACATGTGAGACATGTAATAGATTTTACAAACGGCAAGAACTAAATAGACAGGCCGTTATTATGATGAGGTAATAAAATAATATAAAACTACAAAATCCTTACCGAAAAATGATGTTTCAAAAGTTGGGAATCCGAGAATTGCTTCTTGCTTTAGAACGTAGTGTTATTGTGAGACTGTTATTTTATTATCATGTGTTTTAAGCTTCTCGTACGAGGGCCATTCTTAAAGTAAGAATCGATTGCTCGTCGTGCCCGCGCATCCGCTTTGTTTACTCCCAAGTAAATCAGCAAACCCGCCGATGATGCAGTGCGCTCAGTAATTCGACAAAAAATGCTCCTGTTGAAACTGATCAGCAGCTTGTTGAATTAGGCGCTCTATTCTGCTATTCAAAACCACCAGCGGAGGATGATGCTCCCAACGGGGTCGTACTACTTCACGGTAATTCTCGGCTTAGCACCATCAGAATTTCATTGTTTTTTAACTTAAGGAATTTCTTAGTGGCGTGCGCTTGGAAACGATGGCATGTTGACAGAAACAGTTACTAATTGGCGTAACGGCCAGGCGACAACCAGACGACGAGATCCAAAAGCTGGTACCATGACTCGACAAATGTTTGAATGCTTATTTGATTATGTTTAAGAATGAAAAAATGTTCATATTTCAGATTGTGATATAATTTACGTGAATGAATAAAATTTCTCTGACTCCACTGCATAAAGGTTCTTACTTAAAAGATAAGCCTCGTACATACCTGATACTAGGCATTCAAAACGTGAATGTATGGAAGGTACTAAGACACTCTACCTATCATGATGTTTATACATTATGGTTGTGTTTGGCCTACGAAGTGATTAGCAAGATTTAATAAAAACGTCACCACTACACTCAAGCTTTCTTCTGAAAGTGTACAAAGTGCGTTTAAGAAAGAACAGTGTTCGTATTTTGCATAATTGGTGTGTTCTTTGGTAGATGACCTACAGAGTGATTAGCGAGACTGGGATATAATAAGTCTGTTTCGAAAGAAATAATGGATAAAACAGAAGGTTGCAACTACTATGAATCGCTTCTTATACTTTCGTTTCTCTTCATTATGCACAGATTACAATGGCTTATAAACAACAAGCTTTGCATTTGAAACGAAGGGATTGAGTTGGTCTTCAAGGTTGAATCGTGACCATACACAGATTGTTTTTATAATATGGGGCAAAAATTCATGGTAATCATTTGGCCTGCTGTAAGTCTATTTTGTTCTTTCACAATTTTTTGATACAGGGCGAACATGTTGAAAATAATTCCTTCTATATTCAAAATTCACATGTTAAGCTTAAAAAAGAATCCTTCAGGTAGAACGCAAGCTTCCAATCCTCTAGAGACTCTGGACGGCTGATCTTTTTCAAACACAAGAGGAGCGCAAGTAGCAGATCTCCAAACATTTTGAAGAGCATTTGTCTGTTTTGTTATTGGGTAACTATTCACGATTTGCAGGTTTCACGAAATTTTATACGAAAAACTTCAATTCATAACATAAAAAGCTCTCACAAGTCAAAATTTGATATTCTTTGTTTTAACCAACGGATAATTAGACTAGGTAGGAAAGGCAAGCCTCCGATCTCTATGTCTCCAAAATCTTAGCAGGGTGAAAGTGCGTACTACAATTGGACTTAACACAAGTTGTTTTTTGACAGTTCTGTCATTATATTAGTATTTTCAGTATTATTTTTTAAAAGTGTGAGTGATCGCGGATAATTATGTTGTTAGACGAATTCATTGGTTCAACCATTTAATACAAACCACAGAAGATATCCGTACAGATATCAGAACCTTTATTTCTCAAAGACATAATCACTTAAATAAATATTGTTTATTTAAAAAAAAATATAACAGATTTATCAAGAACAGGTAACACAGGGACACATAAATAGTTTACATACAAAAGACATGCACATAATGTACAAGAGGCACACATAGTGTGGATCACTTAAGCAGTACTGTCAGCACTGCCCAATGTGCTCAATGGCCATAGTCGTACCCACCATATCCTCCATCGTAATCATGGCTGTGGTGATGATCATGTACAGGCACTGCCACAGGTACTTTCACTGGGTACGGCACTGGTCTTTCTACGGGGTACGGTACTGGTTTTTCTACGGGGTAAGGCACAGGTCTGTCGACGGCTACCTTTACTGGGTAAGGTACAGGTTTTTCTACGGGGTACGGTACGTGTTTTTCTACGGGGTATGGTGCGGGTACAGGTACTTTAACTGGGACTGGGTATGGTTTTTCTACGGGATATGGTACGGGCCTGTCTACGGCGACTTTGACTGGGTAGGGCACTGGTCTTTCTACAGGTACCTGTAACAAAAAGGAAAGGAAATTGGTGAAGGAAATTATTTAGAAGAATGGAATTGTCATGTGGGATAGATTAAAGAAATCCACATCTTGACAAATTTGCATTTTTAATAGCTGAAACACATTATGTCATCCATTTTCCAAGAATAACGCATACTCATGTCTTACTGGCTCTTAAATGAATTTAGGATTAGACGATTTACTACCATTTCGGCTACCTCCGTTGCACTTTTATACAAACTGACAATGACAATAGGTATATTTAATTTATCCTCTGCCAGATCATAGCTGGCTTATTTTTGCGGAGGTAAATATCTAGATTTATTTGGCAGCTAGAGATTCATCAATGAGACAACCACAGGAGGAGTTTCAGATGCTGCATTGAGAAAAGTGCAGCTTGGCATCGGTTATTTGCTGATACATTGAAAGAACGCCAATCTAACCTACCGCCGACCCACAACTTATTACGCCACAGACTTGTCGCGTCAGAACTCGTTTTTGGTACTTCTTCAAGATGGAAAATTTGGAAAATACCTCATTATAATAAAAAAAAAACAAGAAAATAAGTCTAGCGCTAGCAAAAAGTGGTGAGTCAAGGTTTCTAGTCTAACTCATAGTAGAACTCTCTTCCAAAAATTCCTCCACAAAGGATCTTTCACAGATATAAAAATTCTTTCATCCGATTTTCGTTGTAAGATTCTTGTTAATGATTGCTTTTTGATTGGAATTTTCATTTGTTGCGAAACATCGGGTAAACATTCAGTAGGTGATTCACTGAACCAGGACTATTTTTTTCTTAACGATTTGAGATGTCACTGGCATTCATTTTTTCGGCAATATAGGATCTCAAAAAGCTCTACTGGAAATCAATCGGTTTTTCTCAAATAATTTTTGTACAACACTGCATAATTCAACGAAATTTTGACAGCATGGTAATTGAGGCTTCGTATGATGTCCTTAGAAAACATATAACTCATCATCATTATACTGATTCTAATATACTTCTGGTTCCGCCATTTAGAAAATATACTAATTTTGAAAACAGATTCTCGACCCGAAGTATTCATGTATCTAAAAGCTCTTTAAAAGTCCCATACAAAAAGTTGGTCAAGCAAAGTCTAAGAACTTACTCTGAATTCCTGCCCCATGCTTTAGAAAAACGTTGTATACATAGGCAATGGAAAAGAAACTGTTACATACCGGAATTTTCTTGATGACATGCACTGGGTAAGGCTGAGGCACATGAACTGGGTACGGCCTGTCGACTGGTACTTTCACTGGAACAGGTACTTCCTTGTAAACTGGATAAGGTTGAGGAACATGTACAGGTACTTTGACTGGGTATGGAACTGGTTTCTCAACTGGATAAGGCTGGGGAACTGGAACTTTCACTGGATAAGGAACGTGCTTCTCGACAGGGTAAGGTTGGGGAACAAGTACTTTGACTGGGTACGGCCTATCAACATGGACCTTGTAGGGAACATGCACGATCTTTTCAACGGGGTAGGGCTGAGGAACGGGTACGGCGACCTTCACAGGTACTCTTACTGGATAGGGAACATGCTTCTCTACAGGGTAAGGCTGCGGTACCAGTACTTTGACTGGGTAAGGGACGTGTTTGGTGACAGGATAAGGAATGTGCTTCTCAACAGGATAAGGCACTGGGATTCCTTTGACAACAGTGATGGTCTTCTCAACATGTGCGGAAGAGCCCAGATCGAAAGCTCCGTGGCTATGGTGGCCCACCAGGTAGCCTCCATCTAACCCATGGCCTCCTTGGCCCACGTGGTAGCCGTTGTCGAAGTCTCCGCCGTAGCCGTAGCCCAAACTGAGCAGCCCACGCTTTGTCTGCTTCTTGTCCTCTGATTTCTTCTCCTCGGCCTGGACGCTGTTCAGCGCCACTGCCACGAGGACTAAGAGTAAGAGGGGTCGTATCTGGAAGATAAGGAGAACCTTGTAAGATTATGCAAATACACGCCTGCAAATATGAGCAAACTTCCTTACGGATCAGGATATCTAGCAATTCAGAAAAAAGTATCGAACAATAGGAATATACAGGGTATTCTAAACGATGCGGCTTTTCTTTTCAGAAATAATTACGTTTGAAATAGCAAAGTTAACTTACAGTAAAACAGCACCGAAAATGTAAAATAAAAGATTTTAAGAAAAATACTCACTATCTATTTGGTACGGTATTTCATATACTGCCCTATCACATGTTTTGTTTGTAGTTACTGATTGACGTTTGTTTTCTTCTTCCTAAAGTCACTATATTTGGGGTTGTCTAGGTCCACTAAGACGGCTTTCGCACGACATAGACAAACCTACGCAGCTCCGATGGAAATATCGAGGACGACGTCGAGGTTCTGAATACTCAAATACACCCGCGGAGTATCAATAGGATCGTCACAGTATACTATCAAATATCAAATCGATAACTATGTTACTGCAGTAGGATTGTGCAATATCGGTTTGTTTTAGACTAGGTAAACCTACACATTGCGCGGCGCCTGATTTGGATACTGACTTAGCACCAGAAAACATCATACACTTTTTCGGAATTTAAGTTCTCGGTTATTTCAAAGCTTTGTTATATATGTTACTAGGAAAGTTTGCTTATTATTGCCTGGTCCTTCGTCTAGAGACACAAAAAATTTTGCAGAGTGACTATATTTTACTTATTGAGTTATTCATCAAAATTGAAATAGTCTTCCTCATATATTCAAGGAACTATAAAGTAAAACTACTCCAGAAGAAAGCTGTAGAACATGAAAAGTCCTTCAACCTGAGACCTTGTATCTCGAGTTTTGCTGTTGGGGTTGATTTTTATTCAAACGATTCTCCAATCTTCAAATTTAGTTTTTTCCAAACACTGCCCAACAAAAAGTATAAATCCTTGATGATGATTACAATTCTGGAGAAATTTTTGCGAAACATTATCTATTTCAGGTTAATGGTATTAATTTTCATCTAGCAAAACTTTCTGTGCCTCGAGGCAGTAGTTCCTTTCATGTACTATTAAGATGATTCCGTTGTAAAACTCGTCTATACAATTTTTCCTAGAACCAGGTCTGTTTTTGGCTAGTTAGCCAGATCTACTAGTAACGCATACATCGCAGTCTTGTCCCAGCAAAGAATTAGATGGAAAGATACGACGTGCGACAGTATCTAACCCAAAACTGAGCGCTGTATGTTTATAAGTCGGATTTTAAAAAACAAAAATAGCATATTCTTGTATCAATAACTGACTCGTCGATCCAGATGCCTCGCAAGTGTATTCAGGTGATTTTCATGAACATTTCTATTCTGAGCTGCATAAGTTTGTTTATCTCGCACAAAGGCCGCTTATAACAAAGTCAAGGTGAACTTAGACAGCCGCGAATGGTGCAAAATGAATAAGAATCTAACAAATTTGTGTTTTGGTATCAAACAGTATTTATTAGCAACTTGTGACAGAGCGGTATTGAGAATTTCTCATAAAATGAACCGAACTTTATTCACCTCTGCAAAAATCCAACATGAAGTCCTCAAGAAAATAGTAGTGTTGATGATTGGGGACAACAGAGGAAACGTCATATAGAAATCCTAATTAAACAACCTTGTAGAGGAGAAAAAGTGCACAACTTAGTTTGTAATTCTATCTCAAATAAAGTCGGAAAAACAATAAATACGATTTTGGTATATTTGGTAGAAGCATGATATTCCTTTTCTGTGGTCGGGACTTAAAGCGTGCTGTTAAGTCAAGAGCAGATTCTTTTCAAACGAGCAAATCACGATATTGTGCAGTGCTTCTAAAAAATGTTTCTTTAAGTAGATATCTAGTTTATGTAGATTTCAAAGACCTAGCACAAAACACAAACAACCTAACCCATGTTCTTAGCTGAAAGCGACGACGGTCTTATACTGAGTCGATCTGTTCCTCAGTCCGCACTTTAAAATTTGCAGCTGGAGTTCATTGACTACCTTCAAATAATAGTGACATACTTTTATTCGTTACCTGAACAGCTAATTTGAATACTAATAAGTGCTCATTCATAAATACAAACTCGTACCTGACACAACGTTACCATAATGAATGGTGTAATATTTGCAGAAAAAGTACTTCAGATCTTGACCTCATATGCTTTTTTCGAGCAGTATTGCAATAGAACTAACCTATCACAGATTTTTGTGTTGCTAAACTAGATCACCGAGGAAAAAACATCTCAATGCAAGGTAAATAGTATGCATAATTTTTAATTCTATTCACTAATTATCTATTGAAATGATGTCATTAAGAAACTGTCGCAGCGCTTAATGGGAAAAATTTAAATGCAGTATTAAAATGAGCCGGTGTGGGAAAAATACCCATCCTACTTATGGTGAATATGGTAGTATGAAAGAATGCGTTGGATTTGAAAAATGGACTGAAAAATTTTGCAATGAGATATTGCGTCGTGCTAAGACAATGCGTGTCTTGAATCTGTCATCATCGCGATTGTCTCTTAATGATGAAAAATAGAACAAATGTACTTACTATATTTGATGCAGTAATGCGGCTGCTATTACAGACATTTTGTCAATCCGCGTTTTGAACTGTCTAAGGTTATTAGAACTGAAAAAAGCCTCCTCAGGCAGATTGCTCTAGAATCTCGACGGCATCTGGACTAAGGAGCGGTCGTACCGGCCAGTTCTGGATATTCGAAGCTCAATACGGTTAGAATAAGAAGCCAAAGTCAGGTGAGTCTGTCTAACAGACTCATCGCGCGTCGCCATCATGGATGGGAGCTCTGAGGAGCAAACCCCGTTGGGATGGCGTTAGGGCAGAGCCAGATCGCCGTTAGCCCGTCGGTGAGAAAGGGTCCTGAGACTGCCTGTTAGAGAACGGTCACCGATCAGTCGGACAACCCTTTTCTGTACAGAATCGAGCATGGATAATGTATTCGGAGTGGCAGCATCCCAAGCTTGTGAGCAGTACTCGAGGCTAGCTCTTATCTAGAACTTGCACAGAGTGATGAGGTAAAAATTGCCTAGTTGCCGCGATTGACGAGATGTGTCTGTACTATGTCAAGTCCTCGATGATCTGGACTCCGACTAGCCTTAATGAACGGACCTTTGATAAAACTTGCCCATCCATCGAAACTTGATGGGCGCTATAGCGTTCCTTGTTAGTCAAGGTATAGTAATTTTGTCAGAAAGGAAGTTGCTGTTAGTATCCTTCTCTCCAGCTTAACGGCAGAAGTCGGCTTGGAACTTAGAATTCCTGCATGTACAGTGCTGTCATCAGCAAAGCTGTGGACGGGATTAATTGTACAGAACAGGAGGAAATGGAAACATTGTCGGGGCCAGGACCGATCCCTGAGGAACACTCGTGTTGGCGCTGTGGGATGAAGCGGAGAACCCGTCAATTACCACGAATTTTCCGCTGACCATTTTTGTAAGAGTCCTGGTGATCCTAAATTTTTCCAGAATCTACAATGAAGAAGAAGAAGAGAATACACGGAACCCTGATATTCTCATTGACCAACTTCAAAAAAAAAAAAAATTCCATTGCGCGAAAACAAGAATACGTACCGTGAAGACGCGAACCATATATGCTTACAACTGGATACGTGTCGACTACCGTATTTAGGCGCCAGCATTATCATCTCATCGTTGAGAGATACTGAGCATCTTAGGAATACTTCCGAAAGAGATTCAAGGGTGGTATTTCCTTGGAATGTTGATGCCATAGTTAAGAATACATAATCAGTTTCCTCTTAAATCAAAACGACAACATTGTGACGATGGAAGCTGTATGTGAACGCCCAAATACTAGATAAGACATCATCTTGAGAGGTACGTTAATCAAAACCCTAATTAAAGAACTTTTGCACGAAAGAATCGTGAACAGCCTGCACATGAATGACCTCAAAATCCAGATTCATCTAAACAAAGAACCTGCATGGACGAGACATTAAACCGACCTACCTGACATAACCTTATTCACGAAGAATCTCTGCACAGCCAGTGTGCGAACTTTCATTTTCTACGATTACGACATCCACATAGTAGTAGGTAACCGAACCGTCATTAGTTCATTTTATAGCATTTTGCGTCCGTTATTTTTACTCAAGAAGACTGAAAAATGACAGCAAGATTTCTAGGACAAAAGCTGAATCGAACAGTAATGTGAAAAGTTGATCGGGATATAAGCGTTTTCAAATGTCTATTCCAGTGAAGACACTACTTGTAGATAGTATCTAAATAGTCTTCAAATAATTCATGATGAGGTGAAGTGATTGTTTTAGTCCTCTCTAAGCAATTTGTGATGTCAAGTAAAAGAGATTCAAGTGTTTTATAGATACATATTAGAATTGTGTCTCATGGAATCTAAACTCTAAAATGATTGAACTTATTCAAATTTCTTAGAAAATGAGATTGATGCTTCGGGATAGTACTGGCTTAACATTCTTTCCTCATTCTGTTTGAGTTAGGATCATCTTTATGTGCATTTCTTATAACTATGTATACTACACGTATACAATTTTGATTCGATTCCCTTACACCTTCTGTCAATATATTTTTTCCCTTTTCTCATACATAACTTCAATAACTTGTCTCTCAGCAATGGAGTATTACTAGGACCTATATTTGCAGAGTGTTACCATGTTACTTTGGTCGTACTTTCTGCTTTAAAAATGCTGCACCCTTTTTTCGAACCATCCTGTATATTCATTACATTAGGTCAATTTTAAATTATGTGAGTAACCGAAGAAATGTGCCAAGTTGATTACGTTCATTATATTATTGCTGTTGAACATTTATAATTACAAGGTTGACTAATAGTTTGTTTATAGAATATGCAGTAGCGTTTTGCTCTAGTAAATTGAAATCAAAACAAGTTGTTTTCGTACTAGTAATTTCCTATGCATTTTTATGTGCTACACTATGGTTTTTGAATCAAACTGTTCCCATACTCAAGTTTAGATACAATTAAGATACGATTCGTTACTGCAGCCCCTATATGTGCATAACTTCAAACTTTTCTAGTAATAACTTTGAATTAGGATTGAGGGTTCCTTGAAATGAATTATGTCATATGTAAGTGGAAAGAATGCAACTTTCTTAGCTCACTATAATTATCAATTTAGAAAAATTCGGGCGAAGTCTTATTCAATTTATATTATAGGTATAATTAATGGTATGAGAAACTTTTGGCGTATTACGATATTTGAATGTGATGTATGCGGATAACCAACTAATTCCACAGAAATGCAACTTACATCGGTTCAAACTATTTTACTGTTTGGTATCTGTGCTTTTCAGGACATCTAGAAGGACCTTGAAATTCACTGTTATTATTATGAATATCACATGGTCAATTGAGTTCAGTAGTACTCCAGAGCAACTTTAGATATTAGTGATTAGAATTTGCACTTAAAAAAATCGTAATGTTCATTTTTTGTATCAGATTGTTCCAAAATAATGTGACCAAGGTGAAGCCATAACAAAAGGTTGTTGAACTCACTGATTAAATTACGATCTATAGTACAGTTTTTTAAAATAACATTAAAGTATTAATTTGATACACACAGTATCAAACTTTCGGTTGACATCGACTACACGATTCAATTTAGCTACCACTGCTTGTACATTTTGGCAGAAATCAATGATGCAAAGTGAATAACGTCCAATGCGTTAAAAAAACTGGAGTACATCTATATGTATATAAATTTTTTAGATTAGTTTATTAAAACCTTTATTCAGAACTGTCATATCTGAACACAATAGATTCAAGCTTCGATGCTGTTATTTTGATATTTGTATAATTTCTGAAGCTGAAAATTTGGAATAATAATTTATAATTTTGACTATATTCTTGTTTTGACTAGTAATACATACTTTTATAATGATTTAGATTGTAAATTGCAGAAAATATTAAGTACAGTACTTTGATACAATTTAACTAACTGATGTCTATTATGATATTAATAAATATCCTCAGAATCTTTTTTGGTATTTTCCAAGCATGTCACAGAACACAAACAACTTAGACGCAGCTTGAACCGACTTCAGTAGCACTTCCTCCAATCCAAATTGATCACGACACTATAAATCCATGTGAACAGTCCTCAGGGTCACAAAATCACATCACGTATCACAATCTGTGAACTCACCAAAGATCTCATGTCGATAATCTCAAACGGTTCTTTGGCGGTGCACCAAATGAACTGATTGCCATTTTGAGCTGCTCAATGACTTTTATAGTCGTTGTTCATGTTGGGCAAAGGAGGATGCCCCCCTTCCCCCCTTGGAGCTCCCTACTCGGCCGAGAAAGTGTTTTTTCATGGTACCACATGTGGTACCGTCTATGTCGTACCCGTGGCGGGTAGGGTGCGAAGCGTCCTTTACGTAACAGCATCGCCGACGCGCCGTGGTGATTCCAAAGTGGTACCCATGCGACGCTCCGCGCGTCAGCTGGTGATCGGGAAGGTATGTTTGTTTATTTGTATTATCTTAGTCTCTTGATTACAGACGATTATTACAGGAAAGCGGTCAAAGTCGGAGCCGCATGTTGCTATTGATTTATATGAAATGAAAAGGTATCTAAAACGTTTTAAAGACGTGACTGTTTATTTGCATTATGAGGTGCTACCTTAATCTCTTGATTGCACAAAATCTGTGAAGGGAGTTTACATTGATAAACACATGTCGTGGGAAGCACAGAGAAGTGTTACAGGAAAGTGACCAAAGTCGGTGCCGCATATTGCTATTGATTTAAAAAAGTAAATAAAAGAATCTAAAAACGTTTTGAAAGCGTATTCGTTTACTTGTAATACGAGGTACTACCTTATTCTCTCGACTACAAAGAATTGTTAGAGCAAAGTGACCAAAGCCGGTGCCGCATATCGCTATTGAATTAAAAAAAAATGAGAAGTATCTAAAAACGTTTTGAAAGCGTATTCGTTTATTTGTAATACCTGGTACTACCTTATTATCTTGATTACCCAAGAATTGTTAGAGGGAATTGACCAAAGCCGGTGCCGCATATTGCTATTGATTTCGGTGCCGAATATTGCTATTGATTTAAAAAAGATGAATGGTGTCTTAAAACGTTTTAAAGGCATGTTTGTCCAATTGTATTATCAGGTACTACCTTAGACTTTTGATTACAGAGAATTGTTGGAGGAAAGTGGCCAAAGTCGGTGCCGCATATCGCTATTGATTTAAAAAAGATGAATTGTATGTAAAAACGTTTTAAAAGTACGTTTGTCCATTTGTATTGTCAAACACTGTCTCTTGATTACAGAGCATTTTTTGAGGAAAGTGGCCAAAGTGAGATTCGCATATTGCTATCGATTCTAACATTTCAAAAATTACGTCTGCTCATTGCGAGGAAGCTTTAACCAATGGCGTTCAATTCCTAATTGTTTTTCTGGAAGCATTCATTCCTTCTACTTCAACACGTTTTTTTCTTAATAACCGCTCAGTAAAATACCTTTTAAAAAGAGATCATGTTATAGATATAGTAAGAGTGATGATAATGTCAGGGACAAGTTGCACAATGACTAATCCACATTTATTTATCACGATTTACTGTTCAAATTATTGCAATGAGCATCAAGTCATGTTACCTTTAGAATAGTTATTAATACCGATACATCGATACCTCCTTTTCACAACGTTAATACGAATATAAAAAAATGCATTTATGATGCTGTCGACAAAGCAATACTATGCAAAGTAGGTTCTTTCAATTACGGAGTCGATAATTCATATCGATGAGCAAGTAAAATGTCAACAACTTATTTTTCTATCATTAGCTACTTCAGCATGGACTTGATATATCGTGATTTCACTTCTACAGGTTTGCGTAACAGAAATAGGTGCAGGTAGTGCAATGCGGTGCTTGCCGATTTTGAATTAGCTTATATCTTAAGCCTTCTGCATACAAGAGGTATACAGTTTTATGGAAAAAATGTACAAATGATCAACTTTGTCAAGTTATCTTCATCGTCAAAGTAAAGGCTCACTCTTGACATTGACATTGAATTGTTGATTGTTACTGCGGCAGCGTGGTCTGTTCCAGAATTCCAAACGTCAATTGCGCATCCGAGCATTTCGAGTGGCATTTGGCGACTGCTGTCGAGCCATGATAACACATTGCTGTGTAAAATCCAGATCAACGATCTTCAGAACGTTTGTGAGGCTACGTGCAGCATAGCATACTGCGCTATAAGTATGACCTCCCAGAGAAGCTTTGCAGACATAACCTTCTCACTCCACCTGTTCAGCTGATGGTTCTCCCACTGATCGTTGGCTCTTCTCTCGCGACTTTATCGCATCTAAGGGACGTTCAAGATATGGATCTCTCTACCACTATGTCAATAGGATTTGCTCCTCAGTGCTCTCCTCCATGATGCCGCCTCGCGATGAGCCAGCTAGGCAGACCCACGTGACTTCGGCTTCCCGAACTTGGTACATCCAGAACCGGTAGTTACGACTGCTCCTTTTTCCCTAGTATTTCGAGGAAGCGAAACAATTTGCTTGAGGAGGCTTTTTTCCAGTTGTACTAACCTTAGGCAGTTTAAAAAATCGGGGTAAAAAGGTGTATCTAAGTTCCTTATAGTAGCTGCGGTGACCAGTTTTTTAGGCTTCTGTATTTAGTGTGTAAAAAAGGTATCGATCTTTACTATCTCAGATTTCGAATATATTCTAATGATGAACCAGACGAATACTTTTTAGAGCATAAAGTTTGAAGTGCGATAATTAACAGTTAGATCATACCCGTGATTGTAAATGACCACCAGACTGGTATCACATTGAAAAATTCCAACACTCATTGCTTAGAGAAAATGACTACTTCATTAGAAAAGAATTGAGTAACATTTTTTTGTAATATTCTATTGATAAATAACAATGCTTACTAATCTACTGATTGACAGAAGACTAGATAATTTAAATCAAAAGTCTAGAATTCGCTGAATGTAGATGAGTATAACATTATGTAAAACTAAATTCCTTTCTTATTTCACTAGGTCAAGGACGTATGAAGTTGCTAGCTTGGTATCTGCGAAAACAAATTTTACTAAATAGCCTAGCGTTTGATAACATTGGGCCTTATGAATAAAAATTAAGTAAGTGCTTATAAGCATAAAGCAGAGGGAATAGCAATAGCGTGCAAAAGGTATTGCTTTATTCAATATGAATAATGATTACAAATGAAACAAATGCCTCATAAAAAACGAGTAAGAGCTCGTGTCTAAAATATTGGAGGTTCATGGTTACCGAACCCAGCCTTGCATCCACACTGTGAATATGTACATTTCGTTGCACGTAGTTTGTACGTTCGATGCTGTTTTTCCCTTGCGGTGTATGTATTCATCCCCAAGTAATTTAGGTTTCTTTATCTGCACATGTTAACAGTCTAATGCTGCAGTGTAATGTAAACTAGCTTCACAGTTCTTTAACTTTCATTATAGCATGGTGACTTTTATGAAACTGAATCCAACGATTAGCCTATAGTTTGTTAGACTTCTACCTGCGCGGCTTCTTTGGTATAAGAAAAAGAACATACCTACTTTTAAACAAAAATACTAAATAGCAGCATCATTTTTCACAGGTAAATACTCGCACTAGTAAGCATATTATGGTTGGGCTTATTCATACGTTTAAGGCTAATGCTTTCATATCATGAGCATTACCCCTTAAGTTATTTACTTTGAATTTTGCAAGTTTGAGCATGCATATAATTTATTCCTGTATCTCAAGAATGAACTCTACATTTCCATTGCTGTTTCTTCTTTGGTTTGCTCCCATATTCCATGAAGATTTTGTGGGGTTTTCTGGTGTAAGCTCTAGATTAAAAATCATTTTCTGTGGAAATCGGCAGGGGTATTACGTAAGAAATCCACACGTCATTAAAATTCGGTAAAATGTCAACTTATACACTAAGTGGTCGTTAGGCGATTCCGCGTTTACTCGCTGTGAGCACCACCTCTGGATGGATAGATTAACGACCATGTTGTCTAAGAAATTGCAACTCTCATTTCGCAAAAGATGTGACGAAGATGATATGATCAAGTATTGAGATCGCATCTGGATGCTGGCGTGTATGTATTGGTCTATAGCTGTGGTCGCCAACCTTTTCAGTATGTTGAGCTACTTTGATAATTTTGGAATAAACAGTGTATGTAAGCCAACTTAAATGAAACTATACACAATTGTATGCGACATACATGCATAAAACTTTCATCTTTATGACATAAAGACTTATCACGACCCTCCATAGCTGGAGTGCCATCGGTTGTCAAGCCTACCATTTTCGATATTGGAATTTTCTCAGAAGAAACAGTATTTTTAAAAGAAGAAAAAGTCCTGCCCAGTAGTCTGCCTTTTTAGTGGGATAAATTTCAAAAGATCTTATTTAATCGCAAAATCACTAAAAACCATTCTGACGAACACGGCCATCTGAGAGGTGTCAACGACATCTGTGGATTCATCCAGCTACAGTGAAAAATAAGCACAGAAGTAATTTATTAACTGTAAAATCATTGCTCATTACTTCTACTCGTCACATCACTGTATTAGCAGAAAGTTGCATAGGTTTTATAACAGACACTATCTCGTCTTTATTTCCAAAGTTGGCAAATAATGAATCTGCAGCTTCTAAAAACGCCTGTTTTATCATTTCCCCGCCTTCATAAGGTTTCTTTTGTGTAATTATCTGGGACACCCGGTATGATGCTTCAGTTGCAGCCTTACTTTCGTAGATTGTTTTTAAAAACATTGTCTGTTGTCCAATTAACTGATTTTTTAATTGTTTCTATTTTTCCGTTCTGGTTGCAGAACGTAATGAATGATTCTTCTTAATTCGAATGTACGATATTCCCTTTTTTAGCAACGGAAACAGATGTATTATATAACAAACATACATTTTTACCTCGAACTTCAGTAAAGAAATATTGTTCTTCCCATTCCGAATGGAAATGGTATGTCTTCATCTTCTTACTACTGCTCATAATGTTTTTAATTGCAGGCCAACTCTAAACCAACCGCTGAACCTTGTGTCCAGTTTTAAACAGAGCGCATTGTCGCCGCGCCTTTCGTATTTATTCCGTTCAAAGTAATCGAGATCGTTCTCGAACAGATCGCTCGCCGCTGTGTTGCCGTTGCTTGCGTTTATTATGAGAAATTGCAAAATTTACGGAAGCTTCTATGATTTTTACACCTTTTCAAAATATGTTGTGAGCCACCAGAATTGCCTTTGCCAGCTAACGGTAGCTCGCGATCGACGGGCTGGTGACCACTGGTCTATAGAGACATTTATTACTGAATCCGCTGCCTATGATGTACGAGGGTCGTCCCAGAAGTACCCGGCCTGACCTAGAGATGGCGATAGTTGTTGAACGTTTATAGTGAATGTGTGAAAATGGAGAAAATCGGTCATCATTATGTGGACAATACTTTTATTTCAAAGGCGTCAGCCCAAC